ATAAGTGAAAAATCAAGTTGACAAAATCTTCGCTGACCTGTGCTCGCGAATTGGGCTTTATCGAAATGCTCAAAACTTGCACATTTCATCTGTGCTACTAAAAACATGCGGGAGCGGTAGAAGAAAGTTAGTCAAAATTCGAATTTTCTGTGTAGCGTCATAGAAAATCGGAAACTTGCAATAAAAATTTGAGCAGTGGCAATATAGGTTTCATTACATGCTCTTTATAAATGTGCAAAGTTTGTGCCGATTGAGCGTCTCTATGAAAAGTTATGATTTTCGAGCAAGCAAAGGAAAAGGGCGAATTTGATTTTTGCACATTCATAAAGAGCATGTAATGAAACCTATAATGCCACTGCTCACATTTTTTATTCTAGCTTAGGAAAACGTAACTTTTTATAGAGACGCTCAATCGGCGCAAACTTTGCACTGTTAGAAAGAGCTGTTGAAAGAACCTACGATTCCGACGCTCCAATTTTTGTTGCAAGTATCCGATTTTTTATGACCCTACACAGAAAATTCGAATTTTGACTAATTTTCTTCTACCGCTCCTATCTACGCAATAGATGATCATTAGTAAGACGCTAAGATGCCATTAAAACATGACTGCTTTTTCGTACAGAAATGAAAGCAGCCAAATCGGTTGGAAAGAATAAAAGTCGAATTTTGAATTTGGTGCATTCGGGACAATCTAGTGGAATTGATGTGGAGTTGGGGCCAATTATGTGTGTGTGAGTTAGACCGATAACGATGAGTGTTTTGTTTGTGGGGGCTGCACAAAATTCGTTGAATTGTTGCGTCTGAACTTGGCCTACTCGCAGTGATTAAATGATTACTTATATGAAATTTCAGATTTACTTCAATTGCGACAGATTTTGCACGAAGCGATTCGAAATTTTGGTATACACCTGTATGTGACCTTGCCTACGGTCTCCGTCCAAACCTCGCAAAGAAAACGTCCTCTCTGCTTTTAATCTTCAAAACCATACACAGTTTGCTCTGTAAGCCACCTGTGCCGAGCTCTGCGTTGATATAACCTGACTTACAAGTGACCTATGCTCGTGCCCCAACATAAAGATCTTTTTGGAACAAGTTCAGCGTAGATTTGCTTAACTCTACTATGCAAAGCTTCCATTCAAAACAGCTTGCAGCCAAAGACGTCAGCAATTGACTTGTTTTTTCTCCGATAACATTGTTTGCAACGTAGGGTGCTCATCTCCTTTTCACTTTCCCGAACACAACATAGTAAGTAATTTGGCTGCCTTTGACCCAATCAGATTATTTCAACCATATTACGTTTTCTTGAAGTTGATTATTCTGTCCATCAAAAACGCTCTCTCAAGCGTGAGTACGATGCCTTCGAATAGCATACATCAAAGTAGAGACAAGCCAATGCTGTTTCCGGCTTTCGTCCTATCAGTATCACCCCTCTGACATCTTTGGATGTATTGTCAAAGAAATGTTTGAATCTTATATATAAAGCTGAATGTCTGTTTGTTTGTGTGTATGTGTGTGTCTTTACGTATGTTTCGAACAGGAATTTTTATTTCTGAACCGATCCGGACCAAACTTGGCACATATACATTTCGGGGGAGCGTGTCTAGGCTACTTTTCGTCGTCAATTGATATCAATTTCATCGATTTTTTTTGCGAAGTTTGAGCTACAGTTGGGAGTTGGCATAGGTGGGTAATTCGAGCATGCTGATTACGATTACAATATTAGTTTTTTAATATCCGTTGCTTTTATCGATTTTATCGAATTTTTTGCAAAGGAGCTAAAGGGCTAGAGCACAAGGGGTAATCGAGGATGCTGATTACGAATTCAATATTAGTTTCTGGAAATATCCATTACTTTTATTGATTTTATCATTTTTTTCAAAATTTGAGCTGAAGGGCTGGGAGCTGGCACAGGGGGTAAGAAGGCGCGCTGATTTCGAAGACAACACAGAGAACGAAAAAAAGAAGTATGGAAGTGGGCACAGGGAAAGGCTGTACAGGGATAGGGATGGGACCTTTATTACAGTGTTTTGACAGGGCCGAGCAAAGCCGGGTGAGCAAGCCAGTTTTGAATAAAAACAAAATTATCCCATCCGATCAACAAAATTTCGTTTTAGGCCCGTATGCATGTACATCCCCGCGGGAAGGGGAGGGGATCTGAGAGGGGAAGCGTGATATCTCGCTAGTCTATGTATCTTTCTTCTTCTTTCTCTGCCTTGGTTTTGAAGGTTCTCATACACTCATACTTGCGCATAGCGGATGCTAGGTTACTGCCGTGCAAGATTAGATATTCACTGTTTCGTCTGATCCCCTGGGGATCCCCAAGGGATCACCTCACATTTTCAAAGCTATTTATCTTCCTGAAAACTCGATAAAAATGCTCCGAAATTGTACAGTGGATATACCACAGCACTGCTAAACATGTTTATGGTAGAAATGAGTGAAATCTCAAAATATCAAAATCTTCGATGAACCGCCTGCTCGCGAGCCAGGGATTATCGAAAAAATCAAAACCTTCGGATTCCATTTTTCTGTTGAAAACATGCTCAGCAGTATCGTAGTATATCTTCAGTACAATTTTGCAGCGTTTCCATTGATTTTTAAGGAAGATAAATGACTTTGAAAATGTGAGATGATCCCTGGGGATCCCCAGGGGATCGGAAGAAATGATGAATATTTAATCTTGTGTAGCAGTGACCTGGCATCCATTATGCGCAGGAATAAGGGTTTGAGAACCCTTATAAGCACGATAGAGAAGAAGGAAAAAAGATAGCTAGAGCAGCGAGATATGGCGCTTCCCCTCTCAGATCCCCTCCCCTCCCCGCGGGGATGTACGTGCATACGGGCCTTAGTAAGTTCTGCAACTGCTCTTCTTTTGATGCCGTATGCGATTAGTGCCTTAAGAGAAGCTATGACAGTCGAATATCTTTTTCGATTTCCAAAAGCGTTAAAAAGTTTTACCATTCAAACCTACTTCGAAATTCGCTAAACACGAAATTTGCTCGGATGCTCTCCAAAATCTTTGCGGATACAAATACACATATATCGCTATAAAGATAAAATGAGCCCAAGCAGCTTTCACTGACAACGGGGTTGAGATTTTTTTTTGTTCCAAAGAATGGTTCCTGTCAACGATCAAAAGTTGAAATGCTTACATTTGAACGGAATCAGTCCTGTGAGCGAAGGGTACTTTTCCGTTATCCGGACCCATCTTTTCAAATGCTCTCATATTATACTTTCTTTGGTCTAAGAATAATTCTTCATAGATTTCGAGGACTGCCTCCTTGCCACGTGTCACGAAAAAATTGACATGTTTTGGTCCATTTTGACACTTTTTTTCGAAATCATTTCTGGTGAGATAAAAGAGAGTTTGTGATCATATTGAAGCTGTTTAGCTGTCTTTCAGAACATCTTGTTTATTTTCAGCAGCGATTCAAGAATATATTTCTAATGAAACCCTTTTTGCCATGCAAATTCAGCCAAAAAGATTATAAACGCTAGCTTGAAGTACCTTGCTGCTGCTTAACTCGCCTCTTAGATGGCGGAATTCTAGCGCACTTCTCTATCCTGAGCAAGTCTTATCTGTTCATTGATGATATAAGTATGTCGTCATTATCATAACAATGTTCACTTAAAAATTGGAATCAAATAAGGTCAAAATTGACTTTAAAAATATTGAACTTACATCGCTAGCTAGGGTAACACAAAGTCTTGGTAAAGCCTGTTGAACATGTAGATGACATGTCAATTTTTTTGACATGTGGCCAATTGACATTCTTTACTGTGGAGTGGGACAAAATATAGTACAAGGATAGAAGCGATATCATCCTTTGAAAAAAATGGGTACGGTTAACGGAAAAGTACAGAATGAAGTTACTTGCTGTGGAAGTCAGTCGTCTGCCGATCACCATCAAACGTTGGCGTCGTACAAATTGAGGTTGACCGCTTTGAAATACGTAGCTTGAAATAGAGTATGGAACAAATAATTTCCTTTTTGAATTGAGACTAGAATAATCTATGCTAAAAACTAGAACCTATGCTAAAACCAAGCAAATTCTGGATATACGAACCTTGCAAAATTCGCACAGGTGGATTTGGTCGGTACATAGAAGAGAAATAAATTACTTGCTATAATTTGTCCAATTGTATGTTGAGCTGCAAGATGGCTTAGTCTTCCCATTGATATAATTTACGCCGCCTCAACTCAGGAAAAATTAGCGTTACTAATGCTGTTGAGGGTTTCAAAATTCCAAATGTTCAGTACCAGACACTCATAACTTTTCGTATAGGACATCCGAAAAATTGTGACGATGGCGCGACTGCATTTTCTTGGATTTTCATCTCTATTCAAGTGGTTTTTTTGCTTACATATGGTACTGCTTAGGCATTGGAAGTGACTGAGAGTTGAGTTGATAGATTTTTGCATTTGTGCTTTGTGTTTGTTTGTTTGTGTTTTGGTTCGAGTGTTTTGGGCTTATGCGAACGCAAAGACCGCTGTCAAATCCATCGTCACGATTTTATAAATGTCCTATATCTAGTTGTACCTTCAGCTTCTTTTTTGGTTTATTTTCCATCTTTTGCAAAGAAAAAAACTAAATTTTCGTCTCTCAATAAGCGTCATCATAACGATAGTCAGATTTTGAAAAGACAATCTCATAACAGTTCATAGCAATGCCAATGCCATTAGGATGGGTTCTGCTTGCGGCCTCAAGTATGATCTCGTTTGCAGATGAAGTCATTTGGTATCGGAAGCCTTTCATGACCGCATGTGGTCAAATCTGCTAATACTACATGCTCATATTTAATATTGAGCCATGTATGTCGAATCCATCTGAAAATATATTCTCTCAAATAAAACCTAATGATTGGTGTATTGCGTTTCGCACAATAACTGCTATGGATTATTATTTAATATGATAATATAGGAAACCTTGCTGTAGAAGCTCAACGCAGAATCGTGATGGTCTTGATCGTGTTTGAATGCTTTTTATCTACACTTTCAGTATCCTTCCGACAAGCGAAGAGAGTCTGGGTGGGAAATTCTGGAGCAAATGCACGATTTTTGAAACCAACAGATTTCATAAAACGAAAGCGACGAAGAGGTAAGAGTATGTAACGCCTTTCGTAGACGTTGAATCGTATAAAAAACTCCCCTTAAGGCAAAAGCGAGAACCCACTTTCTTTTATAAATAGCGTTTATAAGCCACAATACCACTCACAGAATATGCAAAATTTACGTGAATGTAGCGGAATTGGGTATTCCGCGAAAGCTTACGACATTCCCTAAATTTCGCGACGTTCCGGGAACTCCGCGAATTACAATAATGTCGCGAAATTTAAAACGAAAGCAGCTTTGTGTTCAACTCGTCAAGGCGAATTTTTTGATGTTCATTGCATATATATATACGTAACTTTTTGAAGCAATTTGCTGAAGCTTTATATTGATTTATTGATTTTTAGCACTTTGCAATGAAAATGAGTCTTATAGCACTATCAAATTCCTTGCACATTTTGGTGTAAACATTAGCAGAGAAGCTCATTCTAAGTTCTAACAGGAAGAACGCGGCAGAGCTGACTGGCCATCAAGTTTTCAAGTATTTTTGATGACTACCTCGCACATGTGGAGTTACATCCATTCCATGAGAGTGCGGAGCCACATCTAATTCACTGTTTGTGGAATTCTCCCATTTACTTTACCGTCAAAGCAGAAACTTTAAAGGACTTCCAAGTGCAAAAACGTAGACAATGAAGACAACGCTATTAATTTTTGGGTTAGGAATTCTGTATATACCACTCAAAATGTCATGTAGGTAGATTCTATAATTGACTAGAAACTTGGACGCAACTTAGAACAGCCGGGCAAACCCGGGTGCAGCGGCTAATTTTCTCTATATCCCGTTTCCAATTTCCTTGAAATCTGCTGTCGTACTATTCGATAATACTGTTCTTGTAGATTATAGTGCGCTAGGAAGTAGCCGCAGTTTTTTCTTCACAAGACATGGAAGCGTTGGTAAACTCTGAAAAAATCACGCGTTTTCAAACTCTATTCGTCGTAACTCTTCTTAGAATAAATTATTGTGAGTCAGAAAAGAGCCTTGTGCTCAACTCATCAAGGCAAATCTTTCAATATACAGCATGCCCTGAATATTTCGATTTTGATATTCTTGAAACTCTCTGCGGACGTCTCTTCGCAAAAGTATGAAGCAGCGCGTAGTGCTACTAGCAGATTCCAGCAAAAACTTTTTAATAGCACTTTTTCAGTAGATTATGAAGCGCCAAAAAAGTAAGCAAACTTCTTCCCAAGGGAAATAGAAAGGCTGGTGTATTTTGGAAAAATCATGTCGTTCTAAATTTTTGTCACCACCCAAACTATGAAACTATCTTGCTAAGCAGATGTGATTTTCGTAATCAGCAGGTCTGATAACCTCTACGAGCAAGTTTTCCAAAATGTTCGGGTTGTTTCATTTTTCTGTTTTACTACGCTCTGAGCCCGCCCATGGATTTTGGTCAAAATGTTGATTGGATAATAAGGAAATTTTGCTTATAGAGGTTCTGACACGCTGTTCACGAAAATCGTGGTTTTTTAAGGAATATACGCCTTTCTGCAGAGATATGGTGAGGTAACCGTAACTGAGTCACGGAAGTGTGTGACTTTCCCGCAGCTGATCAAACTGTGTAAATCGCTCAGTGGGTCTTCTTGTGTTGGTTTAAAGAGTTAGACAAATCTGAGCTCCAGCTACGAAATTGTTTTGATGTTCGGTTAAGCAGCTGGAGCACACTCACCCACCATATTCAATACAGTGTGATTCCTTGGACAAAGTAAACATGATGTTTGCAATCAGAACGTCATGCAACCACTCACGGTGATTCGGTACGAAGCATGCGATGTTTACATTTTGGGCAAAGTTCATGAGGACGTGTTTTCGTATGCTTGTAACTCAGCGATTTTTATAGACTGAAGTTTGAAACATGCAACATTCGATGGCAGAGTGACTTTAATTTATAGAAGCGAGCAGGCAAGTTTTCCGACAGATACGCTAGAAGTGCGGGGAAAGTTACCACTTTTGTGACTCACAAGGAACTTGATGTCCGTGGCGTTTTAAGATGGGATGTATGCCATTTCACTCGTCTTGGAGCGCTGATTACAATCTGACTTCCGTTTTTGTTAAACATTTCTAGAAAAAAAATTATAGGGTTTTCGCGCCAAAGGAGATATGGTCGAGATGCCAAAACTGCCGCTAAGATGTGATGTAGTGGCTAGCGCGATAGACTCGCAAGTTAATGCAGGTTTAGGTTCGAGTCCTTTTGTGTTTTTCAGTTTTGCATTGTCTCAATCAGGCTTCTTTTTGAAAGTTACGTCTTCGACCGCATTTTTCTTAGGCGACCATTGACGCGAAAATTCTTCATAACTTCTTCTAGAGGAAAGATTAGCAGAAACGGAAGTCAGATTCGGAATCAGCTCAGCGTTTTAAGGCGAATGTGATGATATTTGTTTTGCCACAAAAGGCCACGGACATCAAGTATCGTTTCTGTCAGTTACGGTTACTTCACCATAACTCTGCAGAAAAATCCTATATTCCTAAATAAGACCACGATTTTCGTAAACAGCGTGTCCAAGAACCTCCATAAGCAAAGTTTTCTTACAATCCAAGATCATCAACATTTTGACCAAAATCCATGGGCGGGCTCAGAGCGTAGTAAAACAGAAAAAAAACAACCCGAACATTTTGGAAAACTTGTCGTAGAGGTTATCAGATTTGCTGTTTACGAAAATCACATCTGTTTAGCAAGATAGCTTCATTCTGGTTATGGTGAGTAAAATTTGATCTACATGATTTTTCCAAAATACACCAGCTTTTCTGCGGCTACTTTTGGCGCTTTATAATCTACTGAAAAAGTGTTATCGAAAGGTTTTTGCTAGAATTTACTAGGAGCACTACGCGCTGCCTCACACCTCGAAGAGACGTCCGCAGAGAGTTTCAAGAATATCAAAATCGAAATATCAAGGACGTGCTAGTGAATGACTGTGTATGTATGTCGGAAGATTTGTCTTGACGAGATGAGCACAATGCTTTTTCCTGATTCAGAATACATTTATTTCGAGAAAAGTTACGACAAATAGAGTTTGATTTACCAACGCTTCCATGTCTTGTGAAGAAAAAACTGCGGCTACTTCCTAACGGCACTATAATCTACAAGAACAGTACTATCGAATAGCATTGCAGAAGAGTTTGAAGAAATTGAAAACGGGATAAAGAAGATATAATGTACATCGAAAGACTCGCCTTAACGAGCTGAACACAAAGTTGCTTTTATTTTTTTATTCATTCCGAAGGAAGTTATGGCGCTGCGTAATTTGCGACATTCCTTTTTGCGACATTTTCGGAACTTCGCGAAGTTCCCGGAATGTTGCGGAATTCCGGAAATGTCGTGACGCGACATTCGCAGAAATTTTCCACATTTCGTAAGTGGTATTGTATACGGCATTTCCTTGTATTGAAATCTCCTGTTGATGTTTCGGCGGGGCTGGGTGCGTGAGAATCGTTACAAAAGGATTAGTGAGCGTGCTGATGACGAAGATTACATCATTTTAAAGATATTTTCAAGTTCATCAATCTTTTGCGAATTGTGAGCTGGGGGCAGTGATGAGTAAACATGCTGTAGCTGCCTTCTTTAGTGAATGTACTGGGTTAATCTATGCATGAGATGGTAAGCAAATCTACCGAGTAATTAACGCGACATTAATCTAAATCGTTAGTTAAAAGGGCCTCCGCTGCGTTACTTTACTCAGTAAAAGTGCTGCCCATTAACGCCTATGAGAAGGACACTGTGGCGTCTTAATGGCGTGCGTTAATCATATTTTTGTCAATGTGAGCATTTTCACTGTTTTTATGTGCTATCTGGCGCCTGATTACGCGCACCTCTGACTCTGTGGTTAGCTAATTCAGCAAAAAGCTTGACGTCAGCAAGATTTTCAAATCTTTTGCGCTCTTGATTTATCTAATGTTCAACTCGACCATGAGACTGAAATCTAGGGTGAGTCAAAAGTAATAAGAACTTCTTACCTCCTCTTAAACCTATTCTCAGATTAGGTAGAATGTAAACAGGCAAACGCTTTAAACGTTATCCGATACGGCTTTTTTTCCTCTTTCCAACAATCATAATTTCCAACCAACTCACTTCGTAGTTGTTGAAATATTTGCAGAAATTTCAAACCCAAAGCGTTTGTCGTTCAAATTCTATGGTTTTTCAGAGTGGCAGAAAATTCTAGATCATGGTAATTTGAAACGGTATGCGCTTGAATACTTTGCAAAATTAAGTTTTGATAATGAACTATTTCCGATGTTCCCAATTTCGAAATATCTCGTAAAGTTTGATGCATTTTTGGTTTGAGTGATTTTCTGAAATTTTAGGGCTTTTCACAAAATGATTCTAAAAAACCTCACACTAGTTCGAAAGACTTAAGAGGAGGTTTGCATTGAGCAGAAACTGCTCTCTTTCTAGATTATTGAATTTGTTTGAAACCCTCAAACTACAAGTTCTGAGGATTAGCTAAACTCGCTCAAAGCAAAAATGACAAGTTCAAAATTTGAGAAATTTTTTCGACAACCAAAAATTCGACTGAATCGTTGGTTTGGCTGCTGAAAAGAGGCAGAAAAGCTACGTTTGATACAGTTTAGGGTACTCTTCTATCACTATTCTACACAATTAGCTAAAAGTTCGAAAGGGTGCGCGAAAAGTTCTCATTACTTCTGACTCAACCTAATATTGCGTCAAAGGCATCTTCCTAATAGTTCACATGCTTTGGTAGCACGCTAAATACAAAGTTACATAAACTTCTACGAAATATATAGAAGTTGTAGATCTTAAAAGCAGTGCTCAGGCAAATTTGACTATATGGGTTTTTTGCCTGGAAACTGATGGGGAGGTTCCAGCTAAGGCACTGCCCAAGCGGCAGCGCAAATGATTCACTCACGGCTAAAACAATCATTCCCAAATACTACGCGCCTGCGCCGTGTTCGTAACACTTAGCATGGGTCTTAGCGCGAGCGTAATGTTAAAGTAAGCGAAGTTGTTTTCGAGTTACGGTCACGGCGCAGAC